ATTCTCCTTGTTTCTTTATTTTATGTTCTCCAAGTATGTTTTGATTTTTGATTCTTTTGCTCATCTATTTTTCATTACTATAAAAAATATCTGAGATAAATCAACTCCTAAAGACAAAAGGGTTGTTCTGACTTCCAATTTTGGAGGTTCCAGTCCCGGATGGATTCACCCATTGCTTTGAGCCCATGGGTTCAGAGTGCACCATGGTGGAAGTGCATACTTCCTTCATGGCAAGTGAGTGAAGAACCAGGTCCCACAGTCCCTTCCAGTGCCTGTCCCCAGTGATCCCAAGACTGTCCAGAGGCCTGCCCCCTAAAGTGTCCACCTGGGGACTTGACCTTTAACATGTAGGGCTTTGGAGGACATTCAGGATCCAAACTATCGCAGTCCTTACCGTCATGGCTCCTCACTCTTTGTTTTTTTTTTCCTTTGGGACATTCGTCTGCCCTCGTGTTATCAATTACTATTTCTGTGCTGATTCCAAATCAGTCTCAGTTTGTTTCTTCCTCACAGTAACCTCATGTAGGGGGAGAAATTCATTCAACTTCACCCAGGGTGGTATCATATTCAGTACCACAGTGTCATACTGAAAGTCCAGACCAGGAAAACTGGGAAGCTTGGTCACCACACCTGTGACACAGGTGCTATTGGCCAAGGCAAGTTCATTATGAAAAGGATGTAGCTTGGCTGACAGGACTTCATTTGCATAGGCTTTTTTAAAAGACTCTGAGAACAATTCTAATAATGCCTTCACATGGTTTATATGATTTAAGAAAACTTCACAAGTAAAATAATTTAAGCACAATGACTTCTTAGAGTTCCTCTTGCCTTGGGTGGTGTTGGAGTGGCTCTAAACACATTTTTGCTTTGGAATACAATTTTCAGCATTTCAAAATATATCCTTTGTCATGATTTACTTTTTCATTTTAAATATTCACTTTTATACAAAAATTTTTATTGGTAATTTTATATTCTTTTCCTGAGGGATGTAAATTTCAAGACCTGCAAAATCTGGGCCTATCTCTGACTACTAGTTTCCCCATTTTGCACTTGAGGAATTAAAGCAGGTCAGACAGCTAGTAAGCAATAGACCCCAGTTCAAATCCCGGTCTCAGAGCCTGCATATCTTAAACCATTACTTTCTCTCAACCATTACATAATGGTTTTCTACCGTTATGCTCTTTATTAACATATTCTTAGCTACTGCATTATTATCTCTATCACCTACTATTAGTTGATACTACTCCAGTTGATATTACTCCAGTCAGTTGCTATTATACCAGTTAAACTCAAGTCTAGAGGCATCAGAGTCTGACTTATGACCCAAACTAATATTTTAGAATGTGACTGTAATACACTTATGAATCACTCAAGAAGGCAAAATGAGAACTGCATCATTAAGTGTTTTTGGTGTTGTATGAATGTCGCAAAGTGTATTTACACAAACTACAATGGTTCCAATGTCACTAGGCAATATAATCTCAAGGGGTCACTGTTGTATATACAGGTAGTTGTTAACTGAAACTTCCTTTATGCAGTACACGTTTATACACAACATGTACTTGGTAATAGGGTCTTTAAAGAGGAAATGAAGTTAAAATAAGGCCCTCATGCAGTGTGATTAGTGTTCCTATCAGAAGAGGAGATTAGGACACCAACATATAAGATTAGATGACCTTTATGATTCCACTTAGCTCCAAGTCTCCTAAAGTCTACATCCTATCTTTTCCAACCGACTGTTCAGTCTCAACCAAGGCTTATGCTGAACGTGCTGGCTCACTGCTTGCCTTCTATGTAGGTTATGCTCCCAGTTACAGAAAGGCAAAAAGTAAAAGGCACATAACCATTTAAAGAAAAACAGGTCTCCAGACTTCATGAAAAACTGAAACAATCTAATACATGGTCCACTGCAAAGTAAATATTTTAATTGGCAAGGGTAAAGCCAATCTGCTTAGCATGAAGTCTATCAAAGCATTTAAAAATACAAGATGCATATTCTTGGATCGTGTACATCATCAAATACTGAAGGCACAGAGAAAAACCAAGGCCTAAATAAAATTTGGGAATATTTAAAATCAGTAAGCTAGGAAAAAATAAGTAGACTATGAAACACCGTAGGAAGTTATTGGTTTTCAAAGCAATAATAAAAACTTTATTTTAAAAGCTGACAGAAAAAAAATCTTACCAATCAATAAAAGCACAAAAAGCAAGGCTGTGTTATGAGATTACCTGGATCTGTGCCCTATTTCCAGCTGTGATATTGGATATTGTCCAACATGCTTCCTTTTTGATAGATTCTTTAGGGCCACTCACCAAATGCAATAAACTCTGAAGAGCCGAGCAATTCAGAATTACCTGTGT